GGAGCCTTGAGCTCTATACTTGCTGCATTTCAAATCTCAGTAATGCTTCTCAGTGGTGAATGATACCATGTAAACAGAGTGTGATAATTAGTCAGCAGGCATGCAGTCGAGTGGGGTTCTCAACTCCTTCTGGTATGAAAAGTCAAGTGTCATGATAAACATGAAAATTAAAATGAAAAAGGGAAATCAAAATAAAATTGTGTAGAGTTAAAAACACTTGACTGCCTACCACAGTAAGGGGAAAGTGAGTTTCCAGCAACACACATTTGGCATCTATCCCTATATCGGTGTAGGATAAGGTTTATCCCCCTGCCCCTATATGTAACATAAGGCGTTCACCCCTATATCAGTGTAAGATAAGGTTTTTACCCCTGCCCCTATATGTAACATAAGGCGTTCACCCCTATATCTGTGTGAGATAAGGTTTTTACCCCTGTCCCTATGTGTAACATAAGGTGTTCACCCCTATATCTGTGTACATAAGGTGTTCACCCCTATGTCAGATAAGGTTTTTACCCCTGCCCCTATGTGTAACATAAGGCGTTCACCCCTATATCAGTGTAAGATAAGGTTTATACCCCTGCCCCTATATGTAACATAAGGCGTTCACCCCTATATCTGTGTAAGATAAGGTTTTTACCCCTGTCTCTATGTGTAACATAAGGCATCCATCCCTATATCAGTGTAAGATAAGGTTTACATCCCTGCCCCTATATGTAACATAAGGTGTTCACCCCTATATCAGTGTAAGGTAAGGTTTATACCCCTGCCCCTATATGTAACATAAGGCGTTCACCCCTATATCAGTGTAAGTTAATTAAGGTTTATACCCGTCCCTATGTGTAACATAAGGCGTTCACCCCTATATCTGTGTAAGATAAGGTTTTTACCCCTGTCCCTATGTGTAACATAAGGCGTTCACCCCTATATCTGTGTAAGATAAGTTTTTTTTGCCCCTGCCCCTATATGTAACATAAGGTGTTCACCCCTATATCTGTGTAAGATAAGGTTTTTACCCCTGTTCCTATGTGTAACATAATGCATCCATCGCCCTGCCCCTATATGTAACATAAGGTGTTCACCACTATATCAGTAGTATAAGATAAGGTTTGTACCCCTGCTCCTATGTGTAACATAAGGGGGTCCATCCCTATATCAGTGTAAGATAAGGTTTATACCCCTGCCCCTATATGTAACACAAGGCATTTCACCCCTATA